ATATATATATATATATATATATATATATATATATGAGTAAATACCAGCCAAGGTCCCTCGAGTTTGGTGGTTTCACCACCTATAGTCCCTAACTTCCGTAATTACCATCCGTGATCCTCCGAATTGCGAAACCTGACCAGTTGACATCCTCCCGTTAGTTCCTTCTGTCTAAGGTGTCAAAAGTAGGGGTAAATATGTCATTTCCCACAAAATACCTTCATTCGCTCCATTTTGGGAAATCAAGAACCCACACGCACCCCTTCCGTCTCCACCTTCAATGGCATTACCGTCCAGTGATTTAACTCGAACTGCGTGGAGAGACGAACAGGAAAGGTCGCCGTCGCCGTGGCGGGTGCGACAGCGGCAGCTGCTGGAAGTGGAGGAGGACTCTGTGGACATGGAGAGAGGTTCGCCTTTGAAGTATGTCTCACTATGTGACGTCTACTTGGCAACCTCCCTTTGCGTCAGGGCCAAAGGATCGAAGAAAGTCAAGGCCTCTCGCAAAATCACAACTTTTGACATCCTGCAGCTAAGCAATTCGTTCCGGCGGCACCTAGCAATTATATAAAAATGTGGAAGCCCCCTATTACGCAATTCTACACGCGCCGCTGCAAGAGGAAGCAATCCGAGCCCTCTTTTTTCAACTCTCTTACTTTGCCCCTGCAACCAATTGTTGTAAAACTGGACAATGTGGTGGTAAAGAATGTGTTGACTCAAAGTATTTTGTCAAAGTTATGTGCAAAAAGAATTCCAGTTCTATAAAGGAATATCAGTACTAAGAGGAATGGTTATTGAAGAATACTAGGGGATGTCCTTTATTGTAGACCTCAAGCATTCAACATCTAATTGTGAGGTACGAGAGTCTTTGAGAATAGGATACTAAATTCCCCTAGAAAGTAGTACATGTGTTTAGGTTTCAATAGTTTGGTAGGAAAGATCATTCTATTGTGTAATCTCAGGTTCCAAACAGTGTACTTTAAATATTGAGCTTTTAGTGGATTTAGGCAAGTTCTCAAATTGAGAAGTGCCTCGCAGATTAGGGTTGTTTGCCCGAACTGCGTTACAGATCGTTTGTGTTACAACGTCAGTTTCAACATCACTGTGTGCTGCGCTTTACAAATTTTCAATTGGTATCAGAGCCAAACTGCTTAAATTATTAGCAGGATCCTAATGGAGTTTCCCAGAGAAGGACTGTCAAGCACCAGGCCCCCTGCTCTCTTTGGTACAAATTTCTCCTACTGGAAAGCTAGAATGAAAATCTATATTTTGGCACAAGGAGAAGGAGTTTGGGAAGTCGTTAAGAAAGAATGGAAGAATCCAGTTGATGATAAAGGTAATCAAAAACCTAAAGCAGAATGGAATGAAGAAGAGCGAAGAGAATATAATTACAATTCAAAAGCAATGAATGCCATATATGGAGCGGTAAGTGAAGATACTTTCAAACTAATCGCTACCACTGGCATAGCTAAAATTGCATGGGATATACTATGTGATCATCACGAAGGAAATACTTCTGTTAAGCAATCCAAGCTGCAAATGATACAAACACAGTTTGAGAATTTAAAAATGGAAGAAGATGAGGATATCTCACAGTTTAGTGCAAGAGTTTTAGGGATTGCTGGAGATGCGTTTAACCTAGGCGAACCTATTCCTTAACCTAGGCTCGTCAAAAAGGTCCTACGTTCCATACCTGAGAGATTTATGATAAAGGTTACAGCCATCCAAGAAAACAAAGATCTAAACACCTACAAACTCAGTGATCTAATGGGAAATCTTCAAACATATGAGCTTGAGATATTGCAAAAAGGGAAAAATAATGACAAAGGAATTGCGCTCCAATCAAAGCAGAAAGAGAGTCCAGAAATTGATACTGAAACCATGGAACAATCAATTGCTCTCCTAACAAAGAATTTCAACAGAGTTCTCCAAAAATTCAACAAATTTAGAAGCAAAAGTGCTTCAATCAATCAAGGGAACTTCCCAACTGGACAAAATCAATCTATTTCAAAAGGAAGGGAGAGTCTAAAACCTGAAGGAATTCAGTGCTACGAGTGCAAAGGGTTTGGACACATCCAGTCAGAATGTCCAACATATTTTAAAAGGAAGAACAAAACATATGTGGCAACACTAAGCGATGACTCAGATAGTGAAGAAGACACCAACACTAATTTCGTAGCATTCACCGCAAATCATGAGAATGACAACGAAAACGAAAATGATATGCAAGAACTGCTAGAGTCATATACCCAATTGTATGCTAAATGGGAACAAATCATCAAAGTGAATCTAGAGCTCATGCAAGAAAATCAGTTTCTAAAAGGTGAAAAAGATAGAGAAGAAAAGCGCCTCAAAGAAACTCAAAATGAATTATTAGAATCTAAAAACAGAGAGGCCAAACTGTTACAAGAAATCAAGGCACTAGATGGAAGGCCTAGATCTCCAAATCCAGCGTCCAGTGAAAGCCACTCTTCTGAAAATCCTGAGGTGTCACAACATCACTTTCAACACCGAAGGAGAATCAGATGTTATTACTGCCACAAATTGGGACACATAAAGGCATACTGCTTCAAAAGACAAAATGATCTCTATTACAGACAAAACAACAGAGATTGGACAGTACAAAGCAAAAATAACAGCAAGAAAGTATGGGTAAGAAAGGATCAAACACAAGCTGTTGCGTATACCTCAGAAACAAGCCAAGAACAAAGTGTTTGGTATTTTGACAGCGGATGTTCAAGACATATGACAGGAAATCCACATTATCTTGAGAATATCCAGTACAAAAATGAAGGGCATGTCACTTTTGGAGATGGAGGAAAATGACAGATTATCGCAAGTGGTACCTTGAATGTCCATGGACTGCCCAGATTACCAAGAGTCTTTTTGGTACAAGGACTCAAAGCAAACCTTATCAGTATAAGTCAACTGTGTGATGATGAACTCAAAGTAGAATTTTCCAAAGAGAATTGTAAAGTCTACAACCAAAAACATGAATGTGTTATAATGGGGAAAAGATCATCTGATAAAAGCTACACATGGGATAGTGATCTAACCTGTCATTAATCTACCATCAATCAAACACCACTGTAGCATCAACTAAGGGGGAGAAAGACAGAGACCAAGGTGTTTGCCAAAAATTTGACAAAGGGGGAGAATGTTGACTCAAAGTATTTTGTCAAAGTTATGTGCAAAAAGAATTCCAGTTCTATAAAGGAATATCAGTACTAAGAGGAATAGTTATTGAAGAATACTAGTTCTAAGGGGATTTGTTGTTGAAGATTTTCTAGTTCTATTTCGATTAGGAATAGTTTGTTATTCACGAATCTGTTAGGAATAGCTACTATAAATAGGGGATGTCCTTTATTGTAGACCTCAAGCATTCAACATCTAATTGTGAGGTACGAGAGTCTTTGAGAATAGGATACTAAATTCCCCTAGAAAGTAGTACATGTGTTTAGGTTTCAATAGTTTGGTAGGAAAGATCATTCTATTGTGTAATCTCAGGTTCCAAACAGTGTACTTTAAATATTGAGCTTTTAGTGGATTTAGGCAAGTTCTAAAATTGAGAAGTGCCTCGCAGATTAGGGTTGTTTGCCCGAACTGCGTTACAGATCGTTTGTGTTACAACGTCAGTTTCAACATCACTGTGTGCTGCGCTTTACAAATTTTCAGAATGAAGTAGAAGAGGGAACAGGAGATGCGATTGTTGCAAAGGATAAGAATTATGATTCAAAGAAAAGGAGAAAAGTGGGGAGCTTGAAATTGGTGGTGGATGTGAATACAATTAGCAGTGGCCTTAATGGGTTAAGGGAAACCCGGAATAATAAGGATCAATTTTCAATCTGGGCAAATTCATTGCAAAAAAGGGGTTTGGTATGAGCACCCCTTCCTTGTATTTATCATTTTATTATTTTGTGGGTGGCCAATTTTTGAACTTTTTGGTCATCAAATATGGGATTGTATTCTTGATTGAGGTCTAGTGGGTGGATTGCCCACACCCATTTCTTGGCCGCCAGGCAACAAGGGGAAGAGAGAGATAGATATGGGAAATGCTTTCACTTTTTCGCAGGAAGAACGTCGTCATTTTCTTGGTGTTTTTGCATTAGATGAACCTTTTGAGAGGTGGTAATGCTTCAAGTTTGCCCCCATTAGAATTGCAGAAATGATGGAATTGGAGAATGGAAAACACTGTAAGTGTGTGTGGTTTCAATTCAGGACTGGGATGAGATAAAAAAGAAGAAGATTTTTAATGGATTTCATGCTAAGATTCGAAGGAGTTGATCCATAGCGGCGCCTTCCACCGCCGCAACCTTGGCGGACAGAGCCAGAGGAGGAGTCTAGAAATGGAGTCAATGAAGAAATTCTGTGATTTTTAATTTCTGAATGTTTTATTATATAGCAAATGACATATTTATCCCCTCTTTTAACGGCTTAAACAGAAGGAACTAACGGGAGGATGTCAACTGGTCAGGTTTCGCAACTCAGAGGACCACGGATGGTAATTACGAAAGTTAGGGACCATAGATGGTGAAACCACCAAACTCGAGGGACCTTAGCTGGTATTTACTCATATATATATATATATATATATATATATATATATATATATATATATATATATATATATATATATATATATATAGGGTGAGGTTCAAGTGAGGCTAGGATATTAGGTGAGGTCTGTGGACAAATTGCATCCATCAGATCAGGCCTTCTAACGGCGCTGATTGCACAAGGAGAAAATTAAAACGTGCAGGAAATCAGGTAAATAAGTGTAGTAGTAATTAATATAAGGGGTAAAAGGGTAAAATAATAATTGATTGTGCAATAAAAGAAAGGAAAGAGCGAAACGTCCGGGTATGTACGCGTAGGGTTAAAACGGCGAAAGTGAAAGGAAGCTGTCAGGATTGCACATTCACCATAGACGAATTTGAGAGCTCAAGCGACAACTAGTTGAAGAGGTGGGTAAGACTACACAACCGGGAGCTATGGCGGACGGGCCTAAAAAAGAAATCAACGGCGTGCATCTCTTGAGGCAACGAGTAGACTCCGTAAGCGAAACCTTGTATATTTTTTTTTTATTATTATTTTTGTTATTTCGATCACTTGCCTGCAAAATTGGAAAGAATGTTTGTCAAATTGCATGTTCGAATGGTTTGCTTTTGTGCGATTTTTGATTTTTTTTTTTTGGATAATAAAAATTGACCGATGGTGGGAGTGGATTAGGGCGACTCGCTTCGACTCCGTTGGAGTGCGCTGGTGGGTGAAGGCGGCAAATACAGTACGGGAACAATGGGGTTCGTAGTCAATGGTTTTGTGCGCTTTAGTTTTTTTTTTTTTGGATAATATAAATTGAACGATGATTGGTGTTGATTACCCCGACTGGCTTGGACTCCGTTGGAGTGTCGCCGATGGGTGAGGACGGCAAATAGAGTGCGGGAACAAGGGCACCTGTTTATTTTTTTTCGTCACTGCTAGGCGATAAGACACCATTGGAGGAGCTTAATTTGCATGTAATTTATTTGTTAAGGCAGTGAGAGGGGCATTGTGTGCAATGGACGCCCATACAGACATATATTGCATCGATTTATTGCATGAGGCAGTGAGTATGTATGCTGGAATCGAATTGTGAGGGAGAGTGATGGGGTGAATATTAGTATTTGGTTATTTGTGCAATCAAATTGCACACTGCCAGTGGCAGAATTTTATAAAAATTGAGGAAAAAAGAGAGATTTAGTTAATCTTTTAAAAACTATCAGAACAAAAGAGATGATTGGGATGCACAAGAGGTTAGGTAGCGTATAGTAAGAACCACAGTAGTATGTTGTTTTGGACTGAATTAGTTTGAGGGGGCTCCACAATACGAAGGAAAATGATTTACATTGGGTAAAAATGTGCGTTTACAGAACAGAACTTTGTGCATACATAAATGGCGTGTGGGCTTAACAGTATAAACGTATGCATATGAAATTTCATATAGAACTATGTATAATTTATTTGCAGAAAATCTTGAAAATGAATGACATAAATATAAGAAGAGTAATACAACATGATGGTGTTAACTTGAATTAACTAACACTATTAATAATTGAACAAGAAATATGTTAAGATTGAAATGAAAAATGATAAAGAGTCATAGAATGAAACAGATATTTGTATTGTGTAAATGGTTTCAGTACAAGAAAAATGATTAGAGTGCATGACAGTAGTTTGTATTTGTGCATGTTACTTGCCAGTTAGTATGTGAAAGAAGAATGAGTTTGTGCATTGTGCGTCATGAAGTAAAGGTATGAAGAGATGATGTGTGTATTTGTGAGTAACCATATTTGGTTAAAATGTGAAATGAAAAATAGATTGTGGTTTGGTGGTTTGTAAGTGTTGAATTAGATGAGGGAAAAAATTAATTTATTGTGAGTAAAGATTGGGAGTGGTTCAATGAGTGTGGTCATTGAATTGTGCATTTGGGTAATAGAAATGTGTGCAGAAAGATTAGGAGTATGCGTAATGATTAATGTGCGTCTTGTTACTTCTGATTTGTGCATTTTGTAATAATAAGAATGTGTGCCTGAAGTCTATGTTTATGCATTCCAATGTATTCGGTAGACGCTATGCATTCGATCATATGATCCGTTTGTGTACTGAGTTAATGTGTGCATTTGAGGGTGTGTACGTCATGCATATAAAGTATCGTGGTTACATACCTAAATGTGGGTGATGAATGTCTACGTAAATGTGATAAAAAAAAATGTGGTGGGGAAGTGTATGCTTGTATAACTGAGTGTCCATTAGCAGTGGAATAGTAGATTTGAGGACGAATGCATAAAGTGCTATGATAGTCCTGTTGTGTGTGCATTTGGGGGCTTGACCATCGAGCATTGTATAAACTGATGTTATTTGGTTTCTTTTGTAATGTGAATTTGCAGCGAAGAACAAGAAATCTAAGAAGCAACATGTTGAGATTACGGACAGCCATAACACAGATGATGACTTCGTTGATCCTCCGGTTCAAGAAACAAGTACACAGGATAACCAAGACTGTTTGTTTCTGTGCCGTTATGTTTTGTAAAGTATGCATTTGTGGGTGTATTGTATGTTAGTGAAAGTGTGCATCAGGTAATATTATTTCAGTGCAATTTTGAATGTTTATAATGTGCATAGTAGAGGTTTGTGGAAAATACTGCCATGACAGAATTCTCATTTGCATGCGTGTGCACTTTGGTTTTAGTGCGCTGCCCAATGACGATACTTGAACATCTGTCGGAATGCAATAAACTTCAATCACAATTTTCATACATATTATACACTTGGTGTAATTCTTTTTTTTAAAAAAAAAAAAAATTCAAAACGCATTTTAAAGTAGTACATAGTATTAGTTTATTTAAATGCCACAGTTCTTTGTTCCACACCACTAAGTTGCCTGTAGGAAAAGAACACAGTAATCCATTATTGTCAAACATAATAAATAGAATGCACAGCAAACTTGATTCACAATACACAAAGGTAGAATGAAAATGTATCGCTAAACAAATATGAAATAAAGCAAATGACCAAATGACATAAATTAACTAAAAAACAAGTTTAAAAGAAAAATGTTGAATAATGGTGGATTGAAGGTTGAAACATAACTAAAATATTCATCAAGGTACAACTATCAATTACAACTATCATTATGCCCAAGCTGTTTGCATGCCCTACATTGCCGCTTGGGGGGGGGGGGGGGGGGGTTGAAGCCTTATCCACAGACATCTCCCTTGAGCTTTTGAGACGATTGCTATTGCCTTTGTTATTAGAGACAACAGTAGGGCGAACACAAACTTTCTCCGATGCAGAAGTGCCACAAAAAGACTCAAACTAGATAAATATTTTTAACACTGATCAATTTCTACCACCACCAACAACAACCATTGCTTACATGATATTAAAAAAAAAAAAAAAAAAAAAACCATGAGTTAAAAGAACATGCTTGGGAAAAAAAGACCGCAAGTAGATTAAAATATAAATGGTAATACAGTAATACACATAAAATGATACCAACAATACACAAAACCGCATAAAGAAATATTGACATACTAGTTAAGACAATTTTGACACAAACAAAACACTAGCATTATCCATAAAGTACCCACCTAATCCTAGCATGGCTAACAAAAAATTAAAAAAACACATGCATAACAAACGTGCGTACAAAAAGGACCGTCCATAAGAAAAAAAAAACGGTAGTAAATAAATGCACAAATACATAGAACAACTACTACACCAAAGAAAAACGGTAGTGAATAAATACACAAATACATAGAACAACTACCACACCAAAGAAAAGAGGAAAACAAATGACACAACCCAAAACTGCTAAGATTGAAAATACAATGCAAGAACACCAAAACGAAAGTTAAAACAAAAACAAACTGTAAAAAACAAAAAAAAAACAAAAAAAAAAAAAAACAAACAAACAAACTATACAATAACTAGAAGTTTAGAACGAAGGAAATGACGTTAAAACAAAAACAAACTGTAAAAAACAAAAAAAAAAAAAAAAAAAAACAAAACAAAAAAAAAAAAACAAAAAAAACAAAAAAAACAAAAAAAAAAACGAACAAACTATACCGTACCTAGAAGTCTAGAAAGATTGAAACGGAAATTATTAGAGGAATCCTACACTACCTTAATTATTAATCCTAAAAATATGCCTAATAAAACTATTCTAATTAAATCTATGGAAGGAAAATAAAATCATTTACTAAAAAACCCCTACCATGCAAAAAGGAAAGAAAAATAAAATAAAATTACATCCACACATCTAAACAAAATTCACGACTGGGATTAAACCTCACGTCCTCACCTAAGGATGAGTACTCATTTGATCCTTAATCTATATATATATATATATATATATATATATATATATATATATATTACACGTGCAATTTCTCTTAAACTAAACAGGAATTTTCATCCGCCTAATTTCTTTTCTTTTCTTTTCTTATTATTGAACACTCCCAACTATCCTTAGAAATCCTAATTCTCTCGAAACCTCTCTTTCTGTCTCACATTTTTTTTTTTTTGGCGTTTCTTCATCTGGTGGCCACCGGCCTCTAACCGAAGCTTTGAGCCTTTGACGAAACTTTGTTTCTTGGTCGGCGGTCTCCTATTTTTTTAATTTTTTTTTTTAAAGTTTCATAATAAAGTCCAGTGCCGATTCAGCCACCACCGATCTAAAGCTTAAGGATTCCGTCAGATCTGGATACAGAAGTAGTTTGATTCCCGTGGATCCGTAAAATAAAGTTCAAGAGGTGTACTATTGCTTCTCTTTTCTTTTTTTCTGTGTTTTCTCTAGTTTGTGTGACGAGTTTGTTTTCCTCTCATTTCTTTTGGCAAGCTTGTTTTCCTCTCGTTTCTTTTGGCGAGTCCTTTTCTTCATAATTAAGTGTGAAACATATAAGTTGGTCATGGCGTATGTGAACTTCATCCTGTGTGACAAAGATAACAATGTAAAAGAGCATCAGAATCTCAGCTCGATGGATATATTGTCAATGAACGACAGATGGAAAACATATACTTAGGTGGTGTGCAAAACTTTTCAACCAAAGTTAGTCTTGACTACGTTTGATCAATTCTTCAATGATATCAAAGAAGCGTTAAATTCATCTAACGAATTCAGCTTCAAATTTGTGAAACAGTCTGCGATTCAAGTTCTTTGTAACATATATTGCTAGGAAAGTTGTTTCTATGCCTGACGGTAAAGAATGATATGCCGTTCCATCGATCTTATTTGTAATCGCTTCAGCTTATGATTAAAAGAATGAGTTTCTATATTTTCAAAAAAAAAAAAAAAAAAAAAAAAAAAAAACAGGAATTTTCATTTATAACAAATCATTATGGTTAATTTCATTTTTAATTCCTAGAATACTAAATTTTTGGTCATCCACTTTAAAATCGACCAAATTTAATACTTAATTTCAAAATTTTACTACTTGTATTATAATTCTCCGATACTAAATACAGTATCATACTTCATACCTGACTGGCTGACTGAAACTCTAAGTAACAAAATTTTAAAAGTTAGGTACTAAAATTAGTTGATTTTTAATTTGGTCAAAGTATTGTCAGGTTCCTGTGTGTGGTATTTTGTTCAATTTAGTCCATGTACCTTAATTATGTATTTTAATTTTGTTCAATTTAATCCTTGTACTTTAAAATTTAGAACAATTAAGGACAATATTTAACACCGTTTATTTTCTCCTTTAACTCTGCTCACGTGACGTTGGAATTGCCATGTCAGATTTTGTTGTGTGGCATAAACAATATAAACGAATTTAATAGACTTTTAGGCATGACTGGCTGACTAAAACTCTAAGTAACAAAATTTTAAAATTTAGGTACTAAAATTAGTTGATTCTTAATTTGGTCAAAGTACTTGTTAGGTCTCTGTACTGTGGTGTTTTGTTCAATTTAGTTCCTGTACCTTAATTTTGTTCAATTTAATTCTTGTACTTTAAATTAGAACAACTAAAGACAATATTTAACACCGTTTATTTTTTCATTAACTTTGTACATGTGACGTTTGAATTGCCATGTTAAATTTTGTGATGTTGCATAAAACAATATCAACGAATTTAATAGACTTTTAGGCATGGGGGCAAGTGGTATTAAAACCAAATAATACCGCTTAATTAAAAACACAGTTGATTAAAAGCAAATACTACCGCTTAATTAAAAACCCATGGGGGCAAGTGGGATTAAAAGCAAATAATACCGCTTAATTAAAAACACAGTTGATTAAAAGCAAATACTACCGCTTAATTAAAAACCCAAATCACTGGGGCATTCCCCGAGAATTGAACTCAGGACCTCTCGCACCCTAAGCGAGAATCATACCACTAGACCAAATGCCCATTTCTGGACCATTGTTGGTTCGGTTTGTATATATAGTATACGTAGAGTTAATTTGAGTTTGATAATAAGAAATTAAGAGGACAAAGTACCTGCTTTGTTCAATTTAATCCATGTACTTTAAGATTTAAAATAATTAAGGACAATACTTAATATCTTTTAATTTTTTTGTTAAGTCTTTCCACGTGGCGTTGGAATTGTCATGTATGGTATTTGCTAGATTTTGCTGGCTAGTTTTATAAAAAATAAAATTAATTCTATGTACTAAATAAAAAGTAAATTAGTATTGTAAAAATATATATATATATATATATATATATATATATATATATAACAAAACTTTTTTAATTACATTAACAGCTGAAAACAATTTTAATTGTCTGATAGTTGCATTTTGTGTATGATGAGATGAACCAACTTGAGTAAAGTGCAACGAATCAGCTTTTGCCTACATATTTGCATTTTGTGAAGTTTCATATGCACCAGTTTAGAATGGAACTGGAGTAGAGTGAGATGACTCGGGCCTTGACGGTCTACTTGCATCATTTTTTTTTTTTGTCTTTTTGTCTTTTTTTGTTTTCTAAACACATAATAATACAAGTTATATTAGTAATAAAAAAAAAAAAAAAAAGTAAATGAAGAAATGTAACAATGGTACCTGAATATTAGGCCTTTAATAATTTGATAATAAGGATCTACCATTCTCAGACATCTTAGCCTATTATGTTCTTCTTGTCGGCATATGCTACACTTCATTTTTCTTTCGATCCTAGACATTTTAACCTTTTTTACAACCCTCTAATTCTTTCCTTCTTCTTTCCTTTTGTGGTCTACCCAAACACTTTTTTTAACATAAGGTGGCAAAATTTCTTCTACATTTCTTTTAGGCCAAAACATTGGCCCTTTCACTGCATAAAGCATATGATGGTATGCCTTTAGATAAACATCCTTCTTAACCCCTCATACATGATTGCTGAGATTACATGTTGACATGGAACTCCACTTATATCACATCCTCTACAACTATAACTTCTTTTCTTTATATTTACAGAGTAACTTTCCCTTCTTTGTGCCTCAACATTCTCCCAAGAAACTTCATGGTGATCTCCCCGACTCCAATCAACCTCCCAAACTGCTGCCAATTTTCTATTTTTCTCTAATTTTTGAAGTTGTCTAGGTGCATAACCAGTCTTCCAATTTCTCCCATACTCCCTATTTTTAACTAATCTTCTCATAATGTAACTCTAATCTCTTCTAACATAGAAATTATTGGCTTACACCTAGCCTCTAAATTCACCACATTTAATGTCTCACACATGTTATTATCAATTACATCAAATTTTGAGAAGTCAGAAAAAATGTTTGACACCAATGAATTGGATCCCATTGTTCTTTCAAATAATCAAGTGCTTCCTCATTTATTCGTCTCAAAGTAGCCATACTTTTCTCAAATTCAGGTTTAATTTGTTATTAGGAGATCTTAAACATATCCAAAACTGAAATTTTAATTCATCACCTCTTAAACCTCTTACCCCATCTAGCGTAAATATGTCTAGCACACATTCTTTAATTTGTTCAACAAATGGTAACAAATCACTTGTAGAATGTAACAAATCCTACAAGCACAAAAATGTACAACTAAAGTTATGATTCATTTGAATGTCAAATAAATGAAAAGAATAAAATAAAGGTAAAATGCACAAGTAAAGTTCATACCTTTTGCATGTCGCTCATTTCTCCTTCACCTCCCATATTCTCAGTTTCATTACTTTCATTCCCGCAGTTTGTTGTCAAAAACAAAAATAATAAAAAAAATTGGAAGTGGAATTTCAGCATGAGTTATTGCTTGTTCAACATAGTCGGTATGTTCAACAAATAGTGAAACATTTCCAGACTTCTCCAATAATACACACATACCATGAATACTCTCATCACAAATAAAATTTTCAAACTCCCACCAGGGGACTCCAACTCTTCATAATATATACTTTTATAACACGTTTGGTTCACGGAATGAATTTGGAGAGAATAGAAATGCTATTCCACAGGGTATGGAACATGTAAGGAATAGAATAGGAATTGTATTCTATTGTTTGGTTCGCTGAAGGAATAGAATTTAGTAATTGTATTCCAGTGTTTGGTTAGTTAAAGAAATAGATACGGAATAGGTTTTAAAGACATAAATACCCTTATATATAATAATAATAATAATAATAATAATAATAATAATATGATTATGATATATTGAATGTTATATATATATATATATATATATATATATATATATATATATATATATATATATATATTATTTATTTATTTATATTTGATACAGTTTATTACTCGATGTATGTGAACTGTGAAGTGTATGTAGAGTAAAGACTAATTGCTAGAATAGTAGCTCAAAGAGACTCTTTTATTCACTGTATAATTTAGAGAGTGTGTAGAGAGCTAGTTTAGAGAGTGTCTTGAGTGAGAGAGTGTTATGGAGGAGAGGGAGAGAGGCCCCCTACAATGAAGGATTAATGCCCCTTATATAGGCACAAGCGTTGATGGGTTTGACTTTAACCCGTTGACTCAAACCGTTTGACTCCGACCCAACTATGCTAACAAGAGCACGAACGAATAGGGAAGTCAAAACCGAAGTATATTCCCTATCAATATTTATATTTATATACATGTATGTGCATTGTGTGTGAGAGAGAGAGAATAACAACAACAACAACAACGAAACAACAACAACAACAACAACAACAATAATAATAATAATAATAATAATAATAATAATAATAATAATAATAATTATTATTATTATTATTATTATTATTATTATTATTATTATTATTATTATAAAAAAAACATATTTATATTTATATTTATATTTGTTTCCCCATTTATCCCACATCGGGAGAAGTAGGAAATGGAGCCTTGAGGCTCCTCAAGGCTTCATAATTTCATTTGCAATGTTAACGAATAATTTTCTTTTATATAAATGTCAATAGCGTTTTGGGGAAAGACTTTTCTTTCCCCAAAATGCCAATTGCAAACGTTGCAAAATGTGTGTGTGTGTGTGTGTGTGTGTGTGTGAGATATAAAAGTTATTCCCAAGAGCATGGGAATAGCTAATACCAATGCCTTCCCTAGGAATGGCTATTCCCTTTGCAAAGATAAGGCCCTCCTTAGAAATGGATATTCCCCTTACAAAGGTAATAACTCATTCCTGGGATTGTTATTCTCATGACAAAATGACCAAACCAAACAATAAAATGTCTATTCCAAGATAATATATTGTATCCACATCAACATCTCAAACACATTCATTTTTCCATTTAGATATTCTACAATTTGAACCAATATTCCTCTATGATGAAAGTAAATACTGTTTTTTTTCAAAGTTTCAGCTCCTGGAATATTATAAAGTCTAACTTTAGTAGGATAAATATAAGTATTTTAAGTCAAGCATCAAATACTACAAATAAAATAAAAATAGATTTAAAAGTTATGTTCAATAATATTAGATTTTATGATTTTCATATTTATAATAAGCTTCTCATATTTATATGCTATTATGAATTTTCAATACAAATTTAAGAAATTAAGATTGTAAATTTCCATAGATGATGAGAATGATTATGATGTGATGTAAAAACGTAATTTGAAGTTAAAGAGTTAAATGGGTGAAGACATACATTGAGTTGTTTCTTCAATTGCATCATTCTTTCTTCTTCTTCTTGAATCCATAATTTTTAGGAGTTTTGCGAACTCTGTGTAAATCCGAAAGCAGAGAAAGACGAAGAATGGATGAGTTTATACTTTAGTACTTCAGAAGAATAACTATTATTATATAATTTTAACTATTATGAAATAAGTGAAGCTTGTAGCTTGGTGTTGGAGAGCTCATTCTTTAGGCAAGAGGTTGTGGGTTTGATTCCTTCCTCCTTTTTTGGTCTGAATTATATTGTTTTATGCCACATCAAAAAAATCTAATATGACAATTTCAAGGGCAGACTTAATGGAAAAAATAAACGGTATTAAGTATTATCTTTAATTGTTCTAAATCTTAAAATACAGGGATTAAATTGAATAAGATTAAGGTATAGGGATTAAATTGAACAAAGCATGTACTTTGTCCTCTTAATTTCTTATTTCCAAACTCAAATTAACTCTACCAATGACCTATATATACATACCGAACCAACAAAAGGCTAGAAATGGGCATTTGGTCTAGTGGTATGATTCTTGCTTAGGGTGTGAGAGGTCTTGAGTTCAATTCTCGGAATACCCCAACTTTTGTGGTTTTAATTAAGCGGTATTATTTGCTGTTAATCACCCTCACGTTCTCACATGTACTTCACTTGGCAGGTGAGAAACCATATCTGACGCAGATATTTGGCGAGAAAAACCAGACAGATCATACCACAACGTTGTTTAAAATCAATTAAACAAAGGGTTAGAAATGGGCATTTGGTTTAGTGGTATGATTCTCGCTTAGGGTGTGAGAGGTCCTGAGTTCAATTCTTGGAATGCCCCAACTTTTGTGGTTTTAATTAAGCGGTATTATTTGCTATTAATCACCCTCACGTTCTCACATGTACTTCACTTGGCAGGTGAGAAACCATATCTGACGCAGATATCTGGCGAGAAAAACCAGACAGATCATACCACAACGTTGTTTAAAATCAATTATAAATGAGATACAGTTCTTTAGTGAGATACAAATGAACTATATTTATACATTATATGGCTAGCAAATGTAATGCAATCCAATAAATCATTAAAATTTGTGATAGGCTCTAGACTTGCAAAATATAAATGGGATGAGATTAGATTTTATTTTTCTATGGAATGTCTTCGGTTTTTCGATCGACTTTTAATTTTCTCTTGAAAACCCTATAACCGATCAAAAATCCGAAATAACCTTCTTTTTTTTTTTTTTTAAACTTACTAACCAAAAACTGAAATATTCAAACAGTTCAATTTTCAATCGTCATTTTTTCGATCACTCTAGTTACCGCAGGATCAAGAAAAGTGACCAAATGCCCGCATGAGCAGCTCAATTGGTCATAGAGGTGAAGTTTGAGAAGAATGACCATGGATCGAGTTTCACCAGCAACAGTGTGAGAGCAACCTCTCAAAGTGAGAGGGGCTCCTTGTGCGCAGTAAGCAAAGGTCTAGCCTCAGTGGTTCAGTTGAGTTACCATGATTTACATCTCAGATGCTCTGTTGAGCCGGGGTTGGTAGAGCATACATACATACATACATAGTAGTGATTGTCAAAATTTTCCCGTCCAAACTCAAGGACAATTTAGTAATACTAACATCATTGGATAAAATTGTCATTTCACATTACTATTTAAAAACCTTAAATAATTAATTATACTTTCCTTTTCAAAAATCATACAAATTTATAATTCTCACATTGTCAATGCACTAATTTTATAATCAAATAAATATACACTTTCACCAATGACCTTGTAATCTAATAGCACCAGTAGATATTGGTTCTTCGTGCTTCATTCGGTTAAGTACACCTTCAAATATAAAAATTGTTTATAATCTCATCTTTAATTTTATTATCTAAATATATATTTCAAATATAAAAATTGTATATAATTTCATCTTTAATTTTATTACCTAAAAAAATTTATTTATTAGTTAGGTATACACTTGAGGAAATACCACATTTAAGGGTAGAACTACTACTCAGAGATCAGAGATTAGTGTTTCAACAATGTCTTCCATCCCAAAGCATTCACTGGATTTGAATATACCCAGAAATTAAAGGGCTTAGTGCCCTCTGGAGTTAAACATCTATTACTTTGCTTTCCCTCTAAATACTCCCCAAATGAAGGGCTTGCCCTGGAATTCTGCAAAACACAGTTTTTGTCAAACACATTACTCAACTAATCCAAGAACACGACCACGTATCTATCGAATCTAAACTACGGGCTTACTCCAGTATCGCAGTGGCAGTTCGTTGGAAGTAAAAACCAAAAGCTCAGCGTTTGACAGAAACACTCTCATCGCTAGGTCTTCGCGGATCATCAAATTGACCAAATCATCGATACGCTTTTCGCATCTATAGTGTGACGATACATATAAGAATAATAATAATAATAACAAATCAATACAATATATAGAGACGAGATTTAAACGCTCACCTTGAGTCTGCTGGAAAGAAATACAAGGCAATATGATCATCAGTTGGCCCCGAAGGGCTGAAAGTGTCGGGCCAAACATCAGATTTGCGATGCATTTCCAGGTGAAGCAAAGACGGCATTACACACGCTTGCTTGTAAACCTTTTCACACGCTTTAACTGATAAGTGTGCTACGAGTCCATCAACAATGCTATAATTTGCGTTCCAGAAGTTAAAACTTCCCCTGCCAGAAAGTTCAAATTTGCGTTATCAAGTATTCGCTGTCTTAATCTACCAATGTGAAAAATCGTCATCTTTACTCACCTCCAGATAATATCACTAACAGGTTCATTACCCTTGTTCGATAGAGAAGAATTGTACCCAACGATACTAGTCTGATCCCTTAATTGTGTCGCTTCTGAAAGCTCGGATTCCTTTTTATATGAGGAACTACCTTGCACATCAATCACTTCACGAGAACCACCAACCAATGCGGGCTTACTATCTGCACTGAAACGATGCTTGGGAAACTGCTCATCAAATTCTCGATCTCCTATGGAACTCGTATCTTCTGGCAAGTTCTGGGATGATGGAAAGTTACTAGTTGATTCAGATTGCTCATTCGAGTCAATGGTTGCATGTGAATCAAGAGAATCACGAGAGGAACAATCGGTTACTGCAACCAAGTTAGTAGCATTATATTTTCTCTTCGCATTGACCTTTATAGGAGAACTATTATCACCTCCTAACTTAGATTCTAGAGTCGAATCAATCTCACTAGACACCTCTTGAAATTGGTCGGATAAGCTACTCACACCCAGACAGTCCTCGCAAACCCATCTCATGAATTCATCTAAAGTTCCTGGAATCTCATCTAGGCAGTCACTGTTACAAGGAAGATAAATTAAACGAAAAAATGAAAAGGTCAAAAAGCCAGTAAAATGAATGAATAAACTGAAACTAGTGTATATCATCAACAGTGGAAATTACCAATGCACAGCAACATTGAGACACTGGACACAGTATAGAAAAGCATTAGAGGAACCCTTGTAACCACACTGCTGACATATAGTCACCTGCAATAACAGGGGGAAACTAATTAAAAAGAAGAAATACCTTGGAGGTGTTTCGTAAATACTACGTAGCTGTTAGCTGATTGGGTTAGTGACTATGACTAGTTGATAGCATTAGCTGATTGTAGAAAATTGTTTGGTAAATTAGCTATTAGATGATAGCTGATTACATGCAAAAAGACTTTCTAAAAAACTTATCGAAAAAGTTGCTTTGAACAATTTTTTGAATTTTAGCATTTTGGAGTAATAAGTTGTTACAAAAAGTTAATTAATCAAACACTTGTTTAACCATGTCAAATAGCTAATAGTGGATAAGCTAACTATGTTACCAAACATGGCTTTTTTTTTTTTTTTTTTTGAAAGGCTTCAATGTTTTCTCTAATATTTAAAAATAAATGAATAAATTTTAAAACCCCCCAAAACGAATATCAGAATTGTTACCTCAATTCAGAGTTTTTCTCCCCCCTTTTACAGATTGCATATGTAATCAGATATTGCAGATAAAAGATTAGTCAGGTATTACTTTTCCCTTTTTGCAGAATCACATCAAACAGAAGGCAATTTCACAGAGAATAAAAAATATTGCATTTTTACAGGAATTCGTATTCATTTATACACGCACATCTACGTGTAACACAGGATAGATAATAAAAGATACTAAAATTTGAAATAAAAAAAAAAAAAATCCATGAAATATACCTGCAGGGTGGAAAGATAGTGAGCGGAAAAAATCATCGGAAAAGATTGCGAAATTGATTTCTGAAGAAGTTGATGAACCCCAAAGCAAGAGCAATGAAAATACAGAGTAATCCAGGAGGCGCTGGGCTTGAGACGCTGTGACTTGATACTTCTGTCTCTTTTTTTTCCTAGTCCTTTTCGGTTTGTGAGATCTCTTCGAGGTTTTGTTCTTCCAAAACGGCAAAACCCTACCTACGTTCAAAATATGGAAGTTCTATATTGAATTACTTTCCTACTCTGTTTACAATTGGCCTACTACAAATCCAAATTACAAAGATTCACATTAGTGTGTAAGTTTATATACTATATATCCTATTTATTACGGAGTATAAAGTTTTATCTATGGATATTATGAGAATTCAATGTAATGGCAAATGATACTATTTCCCCCTAAGTTATATACTTATAGCACATTTTCCCCCTGAATTATTTAAGTGGTTCTTTTCTCCCTTGAAATGTTAAATGGACATATTTACCCTTAAAATAAATATTTAAAATAAATATTTCATTTATTTTTCTTCTCTAACAAATTATTACTATAATTTGGTTCAAACCAAAGAGATACTATAGCAACCAAACCAAAATATTCCAATTACAATAATTTAGAATCAAAACGCGATATTTATAGTTTATTAAAATCGCGAACCGGAATGACCGGTTCATGTTCCGAACTGAAAAAATAAAATACATTTTTTTGTTGAATTTAGACTATTTTAAAATAAAAAATAAAATTTTAAAATAAAGACGGTTCAAAATCGCAAACCGGATCCGGAACCACCGGTTTACGGTTCAGGGTCCAGTTTTTTTGATTCATAAATTTAATAAATAGAAATCCAAATATTGGGTTTTAGATCAGATCTGAATCATAACCGAAAACTTTTAATTCGATTACTATAGTGTCCGGTTCAGTTTGAACCAAACCGTGGTCATCGCTATATATACACAATAATTTGTTGGAGAAGTAAAATAAATAAAATGTGTACTTTAAGGGTAGAAATGTCAATTTAATATATCAGGGGGAAAAATCACCACTTTTAAAATAATTGAGGGGGCTGATGTGCTTACATAAATAATTGAGGGGGAAAAAGTGCCATTTTCCCTATATATATATATATCAAGGATAAGATAATAAGAAACTCGCACGGGCTTACCTCAATGGTTCAGTGGGTAGTATTTGAGTTTTTGAGATCAATGTTCGAACTTCGATGGGGGCAGTGTGAGTAGGGTTGGAAATTCAACCTTTTGGGAGAAGAATAAGATAATAAGAAGTTACACCTTTTTGGAATTTCCTTATCGATTGTATAACCCTATATTTCAAGGCAATTTATATCATGCACCACGGCGCACATAGCAATGTGCGCCCAGGCACAAAACGCGCGCGTTTCATGCTGACGTCATGATGATGTCACTCCGTCTATCCGAACAGACCAAACCTCATATGTGTATTCAGTTAAAGAGTTTGTGTATTATGTTAACCAAACCCATTATGTGTATTCAGTTAAAAGTTTATGTGTATTGTATTATGAGTTTGTGTATTATGTATTATGTCTTATGTAATATGTTAGATTATGTGTATTCTGTTATGAGTTTATGTGCATTCGAAACAGGGAATTTTTTTTAACAACTTAACAAAATAACGTCGTTTTGGGAGGCGCGGGGCGCACAGTGCTATGTGCGCCCTGGTGCACGGTATAACGATTGATATTTCAATATTGACTATTAAGTTCATTGGGTTATACCACGGACCGCAATCCACAAAGCATTATGGACCATGATCCAAAACGGTGTCATTTCTTTTAATAAAAAGAAACGGCACTCATTCTGCGCTGTTCTGCATAAAGTAGCTATGTTTGTATAACATATTCAGTTTTATATATATATATATATATATATATATATATATATATATATATATATATATATATATATATATATATATATATATATATACACACACTACAGTTTCATTTCAACACAATTACAGTTTCATTCGACATTATACACTCAAATATGTGAAACTGTTATTCAGTTTCAATTTATATACACTATAGTTTCATTACAACACAACTACAATATCATTTCGATATAACTGCAGTTTCATTTCGATATAACTACAGTTTCATTCGACATTATGCACTCAAATATGTGAAACTGTTATTCAGTTTCATTATATATACACTATAGTTTCATTACAACATAACTACAGTATCATTTCGATATAACTATAATTTCATTGGACAATATACATTGTAGTTTCATTTCAACACAATTACAATTTCATTTCGATATAACTACAGTTTCATTCGACATTATACACTCAAATATGTGAAACTGTTATTCAGTTTCATTTTATATACACTATAGTTTCATTACAATACAACTACACTATCATTTCAATATAACTACAATTTCACTAGATAATATACACTCAAATATGTAAAACTATTATCCAGTTTCATTTTGATAAGCCTTGAATTAGCCCATAATTATGCTTCGTTTGTACTAATTTCTGAGTGAATGTTAGGTGTTTATGCGAGAATGAAGCATATTTCAGGTGTTTATGCCTTGAGGAAATGAAATGTAGACTGGGGCATACAAGATCTTAAAATGAGGACAAATCAAGATGATATTAAGGTAAAGTGGTTCACAAATGGAAGAGCACAATGATAACAACTACCAACGGAGCATCGGAGCGAAGGAGAAGACAAAACAAGTGACACTTCGACTAGCTTTCAAATGGGTAGGTGTCACGCTACTGGTCACGCCGTGACCTGGAGCGTGACAATCTAACCATCTGAATGTAGTATGCATGTCACAGTGAAGGTCACGTCGTGACCTTCATTGTGACCTGCAGACTACTTTGCGGATCCCAGGCGTCACGCTGCTGGTCACGTCGTGACCTGCAGCGTGATATCCTGGGACCTGCAAGGCTTTGGCCTGGTCACAATGGATGTCACTCCGTGACCAGGCAATCTGAAGGCAGTTTTATTGGCGCGATTGCAATAGTATAAATAGGAATAGGCATTATTTTTAAGTTATCTGGTAGTTTTCTAAGTCTTCTTGTTAGGTTTTCTCTTCACAAATCCATTCTAGAACATCTATTCATTGTAAATCCATCAACTCTTGGAAGATTTAGTGAAGAATTATCACTTGTAACTACAACTTCTACTTCAATTTTAGATTTACCTTTTACAAATTGAATCAAGTAAGGTTTTAATTCTTATTCTCCTATTTTATAAACTACTTCTGTACTTGAATTCATTGCATATTATTTCAATTGCTTTTAGTTTTTCAATTCCACTATGAATAGTTAAATCCTTTAGGGATTTAGATTGAATTGCTTTGTATGAATGCCAACATGAATTGAATTGCCAAATCTAGGTTTTGCTATGCCTCTAGAATGAATGTGATTGTGAATTTGGAGATTTGTATGGACTCTTGTTTGGTTAGGGCCCTACTATGCAAGAGGTCGTTGGATTTGGTGCTTCACCTATGAGAATAGGGATTCACCATAGCCAAACCTATCATATTTCTAACTTACTCTTGAGAAAGGGGAATTGGAAGGAAATGAGTACACAAGATGTTTGATTAATTGTCTCACCTAGTCTAATTGCTATGAGAATGTGATTAGAACCTTAGTGAGAGTCCAATGTCCACGAGAGTGGCATTGGCATTGACTTAACTTCCTTGCATTCGTTGTTGAACATTGTTTAGCCTAGAATCTTAAAACACTAAGAAACATTCGTACATTGCTATTTGATCTAAGTCCTCTCTTTTATTACTTAATCATTTATTTGTTTTATAATTGTCTTTATGCAAACAAATATTCCATTTTGGTTATCTTTCAAACACTTAATGATCTTGTGTTTAACCTCTCTCTACTCAATTCCCTTATAGTCATTCCTAGAGGACGACACTCACTAAAACATCACCACTAAAACCAACTTTCAAATGGCGGCGTTGCCGGAGATTAGCATCGGTTTTGAGTAATGAGTCCATTTAAGTTAACATGATAAATCATTAAAGTTAGAGAGTCTAGCCACTATTATTTACTTGTTGTTTTTGCAAATTACTTTGTTTGTTTTATTTTTATCTTTTAAGTTGTTAATTTGTTACCACTCTCACTCGCAACTACTTTAGTTGCGAAGAACTCTTGTTGTTTCTGTGCTTGTAGGTGAATAGCTAGTTGTATGTAAACCCGTTCTAAAGGGGTACAAGGCTTGTTAGCAATTGACCACGAAATCAACGCAATAATAGGAATTGTTTGTCCAAAGAAATCACTAAAATAATATATTCAGAATCTCTACAAGACGGTCAATTCTTGCTAAGAATGGTCTTTTAGTGGATGAATGAGAAAAAATAAAAATTATGAATTTAATTTATTAAGGGTGGTTACATCCCAACATCACAAACAAATTTCTAATCTAGTGGAAATGAATAATCCTTTCAAACCTCTTTTATATAAAATGATATACAATAAGATATATGTGAAAGATTATATTAGTAAAGAATTAGACATAAGTTGGTCTATAATGTGAGAAATAAAGCTTTTAAATGCAATGAGGAGGGAGCCTTTATTTGACAAATAAATTAGATTGAATGATGACCAAATCTTCCTTAGTTCCTTTCAAGAAGCCTTCATTTATTCCACACTTGGATCGAAGATCTGAAAAATTAAAAATTTATTAATAAGAGCTTCAAGTGGATGATAACAACATTAATAATAATGTATTTCAAAATCAAATGTGATTTACCTGGTATACAGAATAAAGTGGAGAGCAATTAAAGCTTAGTACTTGGTTGGTGGGGGTGGAGAAGCATAAATGTATGTTGATTGTGGAGGAGATGGGGATGGTGGGGGCGGTGAATGGTAGTAATACGGTGGAGGGAGAGAATGAGATGGTGGAGGAGGGGAGTGATAGTAGTATTCAGGTGGAGGAGATGGCGATGGTGGTGGTGGAGATTTGTAGTAGTATGGTGGCGGAGATGATGGTGACGGAGGAGGTGGTGATTTGTAATAATAGGGTGGAGGAGGATATGGTGATGGTGGAGGAGGAGATTTGTAATAATAGGGTGGTGGTGGTGGTGGTGATGGTGATGGAGATGGGGGTGGTGGAGACTTATAATTGTATGATTGTGGGGGAGATGGTGATGGAGGAGGTGGAGACTTGTAATAGTAAGATGGAGGAGGAGACGGTGAGGGTGGAGGAGGAGAGTTATAGTAGTAGGGTGGTGGTGGCGATGGAGATGGGGGTGGTGGAGATTTATAATAGTATGGTGGCGGGGGTGATGGTGATGGGGGAGGTGGAGACTTGTAATAGTAGGGTGGAGGAGGAGATGAAGACGGTGGAGGGGGAGATTTGTAGTAGTAGGGTGGTGGTGGTGATGGAGATGGGGGTGGTGGAGACTTATAATAGTATGGTGGTGGGGGTGATGGTGATGGAGGAGGTGGTGACTTGTAATAGTAGGGTGGGGGTGGAGATGGTGATGGTGGAGGAGGAGATTTGTAATAATAGGGTGGTGGTGGTGGTGATTGAGATGGGGGTGGTGGAGACTTATAATAGTATGGTTGTGGGGGTGATGGTGATGGCGGTGGAGGAGATTTGTAATAGTATGGTGGTGGTGGTGATGAAGATAGGGGTGGTGGAGACTTGTAATAGTACGGTGATGGATGTGATACTAATGAAGGAGGGGGCGGTGATTTGTAGTAGTAAGTTGGTGGCGGCGGAGATTGGTAATAGTGTGGGAGAGGGGTAGGTTTGGGCTTCTCACATTCCCCATGAGGAGTCTTTGGGGCATAAGCAAATGACTTTGCATAGAGAACGACTTCATAATGTGTCTTTGATTTTATTCTTAGTGTAGCACCCTTAATGCCCATATGAAAGTTAGTAGGGATGTTGCACTTGGAACCCTTGGGTGGTGTGTGAAGTTTAGCCTTGCATACCTTTCCTCCATATTTGCTATAATCAAAATCTTTAACTTCAATGCTATACTTTCCATTGATCTTGGTGGTTCCATATGCCACAATTTTCTTTTCACCGGCCATACATGTTACCTCAACTATTGCACCTATTTTTCAATAAATTCCAATAGAGTGATAAATTAATAAGTCCATAATTAGAAAGAAAATAAATATTATTATACTATATAAGTTTTGTTGTGTATTAAAAATCCATTGCAAATTAAAGAGAACTCGTCAATAAAAACTAAAAAGAAATATAATTATAAAAACCAATGGTACAATTGTTGTGAAAATGGTTGAAAGGGAAGACATACCTTTGAGATGTTTCTTGTTATGGGATTTCTTAGGATATGCCCAATCGTAACAGTTGAAGCAGTACACTTTTCCAACAACTTTAACCGCAAAATGATCATAATGTGGAGGATAATGATGAGTTGGTGGTGGTGGTGAGGTGTAATAGTATGGGGATGGAGGAGATTTTTTGGGTGGTGGTGGTGGGGAAGTGTAATAGTATGATGGAGTAGGAGACTTTTTAGGTGGTGGTGGAGAAGAGTAGTAGTATGGAGGAGGTGGTGAATTCTTGGGTGGTGGTGGAGAGGAGTAGTAGTATGGTGGTGGATGAGACTTTACAGGTGGTGGTGGTGATGAGTAATGGTATGAAGGGGGTGGTGATTTAACAGGTGGTGGGGGGGAGGTGTAGTAATAGGGGGGTGGAGGTGAACGTGAAGGTGGAGGAGGAGATTTATAATAGTATGGTGGAGGAGGGGACGGTGATGGTGGAGGGGGAGATTTATAGTAATAAGGTGGAGGAGGAGATGGTGAAGGTGGTGGAGGAGATTTATAGTAATAAGGTGGAGGAGGTGACGGTGAAGGTGGCGGAGGAGATTTGTAGTAATAAGGTGGAGGAGGAGATGGTGAAGGTGGTGGAGGAGATTTGTAATAGTATGGAGGTGGAGGAGAAGGTGAAGGCGGAGGTGGAGACTTATAGTAGTAAGATGGTGGCGGGGGAGACTTGTAAGCATATGACGGTGGAGGCGATGGTGAAGGCGGTGGAGGGGACTTATATACATACGGTGGGGGAGGTGACAACACAGGTGGCGGTGGAGACTTGTACTCATAGGGAGGTGGTGGAGACGGAGAAGGCGGTGGAGGAAATTTGTATTGATACACAGAAGGCGGAGGTGAAGAATACAAATAACCAGTATCTCCCGAAACTACATTAGAGATAGTCAACAAGACTAACACCACCGAGATGTGTGACAACAGGCTACCTCCGGTGAGGCCACCACCGCGAATCCTCATGTCTTGCCTAAAAAACTCTACCAATTCAACTTAAAGCTTTGTTATTCAGCTGTGAGCTGATGACTAGAGATGATTAAATGGTAAAGCTATTTATAATATTAATATACTGCAAGAACTGGGAAATCGTCACTGCATGAAATCGTCAACTGACAACCTGGGGAACAACTAAAATATAATGATCATTATATTGCATGAAATTGTCAACAGGGGAAACAACTCAGATAGTGCCATAGTGGTGCAATATAATATTACAAAAAAAAAAAAAAAAAAAAAAAAATCTTGATCATCAACTCTCTACACAGCTGTTTGCAATTCTTAATTTTGATTATTTCTGTATATGAACATGGCAACTCTTCCCCCTTTACCAAAATAAAAATAGCAAGTATGTAGAAGACGGCAGATGAGGCTATTTGTACTACACTACATGCATCTTATAAACTTTGATGTAACATTTAATCCATTTACATTTACTAATTATAATATTCATTAATTTTTTTTAACTTATATGGTAAAATTGACCAATACGCAAACATCTGAATATAAATAGTTTTACTGTCATGTTAGTGAGTTTTGAAATTTGGATCTAACGTATTCTAAATTCAAAGACAATTATATATACAACACTCCAATCCCACATAATCTAAATCAATCAAAATATATTTAAGTTAATAAATTCAGAATGAAATAATTTTCCTAATTTACTAATATTGATAGATTTAATTATCCGGGGTGAACCCGAATTATCAATTAAACCCGGTTAAGAACGTAGGTAGTAAAAGAATAAAACGATGTCATTAAGGTCATGGGGACTGCATATTGTATTAGATATCGCTAATAAGTTGTTACAAGGCTTGATTAGAACAATAGTCATGAAAGTATCTAATAAGTTATTACAAGGCTTGATTAGGACAATAGTCATGAAAGTAGTGAACGTGTCTTAATTGGACACAAGAAGGGCTTTTTATACAAGCTACTGGGGCCTCCTAACTGCCCGGCCTCCTGAATTGGTGGAGGGGGGGGGGTGGTTGCCCCCGCTTTGACCACGCTGGTCCGGAGACCGGGCAATGCGGCCGAGGTTGGCCGTCGGGGTCAGCTGCCGACCTCCTGCCGAGGTGCCCGCCGACCTCTTGAGCCGAGGTCTTGTGCCGAGGCAGATGGATTAGGCACGTAGCATCGCCCCGGGGTCCCCGCTCTTGCCTCGCAATCCTAGGTCGATTCGGGTCTACTTATAATATATCCATCAAATATATATATATATATATATATATATATATATATATATATATATATATATATATATATATATATATATATATTGATTCAAATGAGAACAGAGCTTCCCTGCGGTCGGTGCGATTTACACCATTAGCTATGCATAAATACACCACACAGTGTTCGAAAATGCACCAAAATGAAATGTCACAAAATGCACCCACACACTAAAAAAATGCACCACACATAATGGTGTATTTTCAAACATTGTGTGGTGCATTTATGCATACCTAATGGACCGTACGGAAAGCTCTGTTCTTATAGGAACGACCCTATATATATATATATATATATATATATATATATATATATATATATATATATATATATATATATATATATATATATATAGGAGAAGAGACTTGCACTCGGGTGCGAACGGCTCGCCCAGGCGCGAAATAAGAATGAATTTTGTTCGTCCACGTGTCCAGATCTAATGGATGAGAAACACTGATTTTAAAAAAAAAATGCGATGGCATTTTCGTAAATAATTGAACATCGAATTGCAATTAAAATGTATTACAAGTGCATGTAAAATGTATTATAAGTGCAAGTAAAAATTTACAATGAGCATCAATACTTAGTTGCACTTATAGTTCTAAGTAGTTGCACCTATAGTTCTAAGTAGTTGCACACATAGGTGTAAGTAGTTGCATCTAGGTGTATGAATGTTTGCGAGTGATTTTCAGGAGTATTACTACCCGCTGAACTCAGATCAATGAATGTTAGCAAGGCAAAATTACATGCACTTATAGGTGAAAGTAGGTGCACCTATAGTTATAAGTAGTTGCACATATAGTTATAAATAGTTGCACATATAGTTATAAGCACATCCAGGTGCATGAATGGTTGCAGAAAGTGAATGCTAACAAGGCAAAATTACATGCACTTATAGGTGAAAATAGGTGCACTTATAAGAGATTTTACTTGCACTTCGATGTTCAATTATTTATGAAAATGCCACCGCGTTTTTTTTTTAAGTTATTAGATCTGGACACGTGTCGCGCGCTGATTCGTTCGCATTTTCTTCCTGGGCACTTATTCGCACCTGAGTGCGTCCCTGGGAGAAGATATGATTAGAATCTATCTAAGAAAATAACGTGCGGTGCAGCTGTATGAAAGAAGTGATGACTTAAACATGGTTTGACAATTGTTATACTGCAAACAATATATATAGCATCTGCCACAAACTATATCTATATCTATATCTATCTATATCTATATATAATAACATAATTGATTGTCTAAGTTTTCCCGCCCAAATTCAGAAACATTTTAGTAATATCAATATTATTGGACAAAAATATCATTTAGGATTAATATTTAAAAACTTTCAAAAAAAATTAATTACACTTTCCTTTTGAAAAATTATACAAATTTATAATTTTCTAGCTATAAATATTAAATAAATACAATGTATTGGTGACTTTACAAATCATAATTCTTCATTTTGCACTGCCTCCCTCTTCTTCTCGTTCTCTATGAAATCATATCTTGGTGTCTCTCTCATTCCCTTCTTCCAGTGCCCAATAAATAAAATGGATTGATGTTGCACCCATGAAAACGTAAGTATCTTCTTGTAGCTTTCAAGATTTTTTTTTTTCTTTTTTTTTTTTTTTTGCAATCGTCGTTGGAGGTGTTCTTAGCGCCGCTGAATCTAACGGATTGGGCATTGGTGGAGATGCTGGCGGCGTTGGCTACGGAGCTGAATTCGTCGTTTTCTAGCGGCAAGAAGGGGCCGGCGTACCAACGTAAGAACTCCAAATCGCTTCTTAGGAAAATACAAATTTTATCTGTCACCATGGAATGCCTTGGAGAAAACAGAGGTTCTTCTTTTTTGAGTCATTTCCATGATCTGGACTAAGAAATTTCCACCATTTTGGATGTTTTGCCGATAATAAATGGATTGAATTTGCCTAATGATGTTAGGAACAAGTAGTACTGTTACAGAAACAATCCAAAAAATCTAAACTTTTCATTGATGAGAATGATGAGTTGTAAAGGTTGAACGATATTTATTTATTAGTATTTGTTATGCGCGATGCCCAAAAATAGGTGTCCAATATTAATAGAGTATATTAAAATTTTAAATTTATTTAAATTTTAGATATTTAAATTATTCTAAATAATAATAATAATAATAATGTAAATTATTTTTATAAATTTGATATTTATATTTTATGTAATAATTAACATATAACTCAAATATATAATGTGTATATATTATTATTAATGAAGAAGATAAGAAAATATATTGTGGATACATGTGCATGGTAACAATAGTGGAAAAGATAATGGAAGTTATAACGGTAGAGGTATGCTTGTCCAAAATATTTTAATATACAACCTTTATAGCATAATGTACAAAAAAAAAAAAAAAAAAAAAAAAAAAAAAAAAAAAAAAAAACTTAACGGAAAAAACAGACATAAAGTAGGGGTATAACTTTCATTCACACTTATTATATTTTTAGATTTAGATTTATTTATTTATACTTAAGGTATATTACTATGAGAACAAAATAAATTATCATTCACATTTTTCGGTGAAACGATTATGGTACTTTTCTGTTAATCTATATATATATATATATATATATATATATATATATATATATATATATATATATATATATATATATATATATATATATAGGGTGCGGATCCCATGAGACTCCTATACAAAATGAGATGGTGAGATGACATCCCATTCATTTGTACATTTGTAATGGATGGATGAGATTGATTTAGGAATGTAATGTAAAATAGGGAATATTATTAATAGGAGGGTTTAAAAGTAATTGTATTAATGTGTTAATTTTGGTTAGAATTTGATTAGAATCTTTGCCATAATTAAATACCACAAATATAATAGAAATTATTAGTGGTCAACTATGCACAGAAGCTGTTGGAGTCCAACCGTGAACAGTAAGTGGGTGTTCCGGACGTAACTTCATTCGACGAACATGTCTCATACCACAGGTAAGAGATTTGCAGACTCAATTTTTGTAATGTGTTTTGTACGCTGGTCTGTGCATCCAGGTAGTACGGTGTGTGCTTCATTTTGATTGTACGGTGTTGGTATTGTTATGTGTTGGTGGCTACATTTATATTAATATGTGAGGGGGACACGAAGCATTTGGGGGGGTTTGAGTGTGTTTTTATTGGAAATAGACGAACGCACATGCAGTGGATAGTTGGTGAATGGCGAGTGGGTGAAATTTTCCAGTTGGCGTTGTCATGGCGTGCATTTCAATGATTTTGAAGCGGTGTGACATTTGTCAAGGTTACACAAATTATTTTTAAAATAGGTGTGTGTGGAATTACTTGTGGGATCAATCTTTCATTAATTAGACGGAATGGGTGGGATTTGGTTTGTGGGTGATTTTAGGTTTGTGCGTTCGTATAATGCGGCGTGTGCACCTTACTCATTCGAATTAGAATGGTTATGGTTGAATTGAAGTTATTTGTTTGTAAAATTAGTATTACAATGGGTGTGCGTGAAATCAAGTGAGGCATTAGTTCCTAATGAAGTAGAGGTTATGGCTGTTATTTGGATAGTGCATGCAATGAGGTCTGTGTGTTTTTCTAACGACGGTGTGTGCGTTAGTTCACGTCGGTCTGTGCGTGTGTTTATTATTTTTGTACATGGCAGTCGGTGGACGACCAGTGGGTGTATTTCTCCAAGGTGCGTTGTCATGACGTGCAATAAAAGGTTTTTGATGAAATGT